TGGCGGCGGAGCCCGCAGCCGCCTGGCGGGGAGCAGGACTATTTTTTCCGGTGAGGAGGACCGGGGCGGGCGGAAGGGGCGGGGGCCGAGGTGTCCCCTTGTTTTCCCAGGTCCCCGCTGGGGGCGGGGGGCGCACCTGAGGGCAAATCTCAATTAGAGGCGGCGGCGGGCCTGGCCCGGCTTGCCCCGGGGGCGGGGGCGGGGCGGAGAGGGCAGGCAGGGGGTGGCCCTACAGCTCGGTGACCCGAGCTGCTCCGGTGGGCTTTCCCACAGGTCTCCAGGTGTGCATTTGGGGCGTGGGGCTCTGAGGCCGTAAAAGCCGCCCCTTTCCTTCTGTGCACTGGCTTTCAACCTTGTCGAGGAGGAGCCCCCTCCTGGCAGGGACCCCCCCAGCCCCAAGCCTGCTCTTCAGGGGAAACACCCTCACTGAGCTCTCTCTTCTGCTGGTGGACCGCAGCCTCGGTTTCCCCTCCCCTCCCTCTTGTTACCTGGAAAATGTTGGGGAGGAGGATCGGGGGGAGTGAAGAAGAGGGAGGAAAGATTTCCCTTCTGCTCACTCTCCCAAGAGTGGCCTAAAAATAAGGAGTGGGGGGGATTGTGGAGGCGCCTGGTTTGGTCCAGCGGGAGGACGCAGTGGCGGTCCAGGTTGACGGCCAGGGCTGCAGCAGAGTCTGGCATCCCCAAACCTGGGCAGTTTAGAGGATGGGACAGCAGCGACCAGGAGGGAGGTCCCAGGCCCCAGGACAGACATTTTCCCTCCAGTTTGTCCTAATTGCTTTTCACTAGGTTGCTTTTTTCTCTCCCCCCTTCACAAAGAGCCTTAATCCTGGTGGACTGCAGGACGTGTTGGGGGTAGTTCTCTGGGGTGTGTGTGGGGAGGGTGGTCTGGAGCCACAGCTGATAACTGGCGAGTTCAATGGGACTTTAAAACAGGGGCAACACCCAGCAATTACTTGAGGACAAAGGATTGGGGGCCTCCCAGGTGTGGAGGACTGGACTTTGGGGGGGCTGGGGGAGGAGACCGGGAAGGAAGTGTGCTGGGGAGGAGGAGCTCTTACAATCCCTCTGATTTCCGCAGGAATTTGAGACATTCTTTAAAACTCTTGACTGCCTCCCCCCAGCCGGGCTCTTGGCCGACCCCTACCCCTCCCTCGCTCGGGTTAGAGACGGCTTCAAAGGTGGATGGGGCCCTTTGTCTTGCCTGCGCTTTCTTCTCGGCCTTTCTCCGGCCCCTCCCTCCCTCTCTTTGACCTCCCCAGCACAGACAGGCCTCTGGGGGCCGGCTCCAGAAAGCCCGCACTGTTTTCTTTCTTGTTTCTTGAGGTGAGACCTGGCAGGGAGGGGCAGAGGATGGGGAAGGGTGAGGGAGGGCAGCGTCGGAGGCCTGTGTGTCTGACGCCTGCCTCTGGCCTTGGGTCCCCCTGGCTGGGCCCTGACACTTCCACTCACCGCAGCTCTTGGTGCCTGTGCCCAGCGTCCAGGCTTCACACCCTGAGCCACTCTTCCCACTCTGGGGAAGCCTGTTCAGCTCATTCCCTCTGAACCCGTGTGACTTCAAAGCTGCTAAAAGGAAGAAGCCAAAGGAATGGATCCCTGATCATGGAGCTTCAGAGGGGATTAAACACACGTGTGTGTATATGGTGGGAATGAGGCTTCCCGAGGACCTCAGACCACGCCTGACTGCGACAACCTTTGGTGCTTCCACATGCCAGAAGATTCTAAACAAGTGTGAGCCTGGCTGGCCACAGGGGGCTGCTTACTAATAGCCCCTTGCTGTGGGGGTGAGATGAACGCATGAAGGAGAGGACATGAAGATGTGGAGGGAGGTGGTGGCAGGAGGTGGCAGCCGTGTGCCTCCAATCCTGTGCCTGTTTAGGATTACCAGGAACTCTAGCTAAGAATAGCCTCCGTATTGATCACTCCCTTCTCCGTCCTTTCCTCCAAAGAGCCAGAGGAAGCAGAGGGGGGCCAAAGCAGGAAGCCAGAGGGGGATGCACTCGCTTTTTAGCCACACAAGCTGGTTCTACTTAGGTCACTCTATTCAACCCTGTTCCTTGACCTCCCGGTCACCAAGCCTAAAGCCTGGCCTCAGTGCCCTGTGTCCTCAGCCCCACAGCACTTGACATCGTGGAGGACCACCCCCTCTTGACCACTTTCCCTCCTCGGCCTATGAGAAGCTGGCCTGTCTGGCTTCTCTTTCCTGGCTCCTCTTCATAGGAACATTCCCCGAGGTTTCTTACACGTTCTTCTCTCCTCGTTCTGCACACTGTCTCTCTGCACAATCTCAACATCTCAACTGTCACCCCCTTGCACGTGACTCCCAAAATCTGCAACTGTGCACCATTTTCCCTCCCAAAATCTGCAACTGTACACCATTGCCAGACCTCACTGGGATCCGTCTAAATTCCTGCAGTAGCTTCCTAAATAGTCTCTCTGCACCCTCCACTCCCCTCCACTCGAGGACATTGCACAGTGGCTCCACTTACCATACCCTGTCATAAGCCACAGCTCTGCCCGGCCACACTATCACTAGCAAACCCTTTAGCATGGTTTACAAGACTCCTGTCTGGTCTACCTGTCCAGCCCTATCCCTACAACCCCCCTTCTAGAACGCTGGTAAAATTGGAACCCTTGCCATCCAACTAGCACACTGTCCCCGTCTTTGAAGTTCCCACTGCCTGGCATGCCCTTCTCCAAAATGCTTGCACGTCCAGACCGTGGCCATCTCCCCTGCTCTGGAGACTCTCCACTGCCACTGGCCATGCCTGCTGTTCACTTGCCCTTGCCTTTTGACACATGTCCCAGCTTGTCTGGAACTGTCGTCCTTGGTGTTTGTGTCGTGATTCTGCTAGATAATAAGCTCCTCAGATGTAGCAATAGTCCGTCGTTGCCTCCCCCGTAGTGGCCAGCACAGTACATCGCACAGGGTGTTTCTTGAGAGAATAAAGCAGTGGAGCCCCAGAAAGGAGGTGCTGGCCCAGCACCCTGCTGTCCCTCAAGGTGGGGACAGGTGAGAAGCCAGAATCCCGCTTTCACCTTCCAGCCTTAGGCAGACTTGGGTGGGGAGGGGTCTTACGCAATTAATCCAAATAGTTATTTATTCCCCACAACATTCAAGCTCTGTGATAACCCTTCAGTTAATAAAAAAAAAAAAGATGGACAAGTCAGAGCTCTCAGGGCACTTGAAATTTAATTGGAGGGATAACCCCATAAAAAGGAAGCTCTTTTGTGGGACTTCTGGAAATCTCTCTTACTCTTAACAAAGCAGCCTTTGGTATGTCTCAAGAGTGAAAGGCTATAAGAATCATTGGAAATAAGGAAACTGATATGTACTGAACTCTAGAGGTGTGCCCAGGGCACTGGAGGCACACTCATGTGGAATCCCTTATTTAGGGCGATAAAAGTAATCCCGTGTGCCACATGCAGGGACGCTCACAGTCAAAACATTCAGCTGTCCATGGTCGCACTGCTGGTGAGCACTGCAGTCCCCTCAGCATCCCAAGGGCAAATGTTCTGTACTCTACTCCCCTGCCCAGGCATAGTGGGTTCTGGGTGGGAGAAAGCAGGGGCTGAGTGCTTGGGAGGGCTTAGTGCAAGGGTGGGGTTTGCATGTCTCTCATGGGAGAAGACTCACAAAGGGGAAATGTTGAGAGGAATGACAGCATGAGAAGCAAGGCTTAGAGGCAGGAAGATGTGTGGTGTGTTCAGGGGAAGGTGAGCAGATCAGTTTAGCTGCAACTGCACGTTTGCGTGGAGAAGTGTCAGGAAACT